GGGGGGGGGGGTGTTATGCGATACCAGGGGCAGTATTTCTGTGGTGCAGTCCAGAGCGGCTCCCTTCCTGGGCTGTGCAGTGCTGGGTGCAGGGAGTAGGGCAGACAGGCAGCCCCAGAAACCAGGAGTCCTTGCAGGGAGTAACAGATGCCAGCTGTGGCCTCAGTGGCTCCCATGGGTAGAGCTCCATCCCCAGGGGCAGCTGTGGCCACATGGACCTGACCAGGGCAGACCACACCAGTCCTAGCCCTTTGCTAATGGCAACACTCATTAGCCTGCTGGTGCACTCTGAGGCTCGGGCACGCTGGACTCTCCTGCCTCCTGCTGTGACCGGCTGATCAGCCCTGCCAACAGGGTAAGTGCGCTTGGGAGGCATGGAGAGCTCTTACCCAGCCTTGAACAGAGCAGACTGCACAAGGGCATGAGGACACCCACCCCTCCCAGTCCAGTCACCCATGCACGGTGCAGCAAGCCCCACCTTCCCAATTATGCATGTGCCTTGTACTGCCCATCCAGCTGGCCTCTTCCCATGTGCCACTTGAGGTGAGGGGAGGAAACACATTAAGTGTGCACATGTGGGGAAAGTTCAGCGGAGGTCCTACTGCACAGGTGGTCCCCACAAAGTTGCACATGCACTGTATGGCACTAGTCAGGCTGGCCCTTGCGCATGTCTCTACCAGGGTGGAGGGGTGCATATATGCCATGGTTAGTGGTTCAGGGCTCCTGCTATGAGGCCTACCCCCAGGCCTGTGTGGACAATGCCTCTGTAGCCCCTGCAGCAAGGTCTACAGAGTCCTCAGCCTTTGACCCCCAGGGTCCCTTCCCCCTCCACCAGACTCTGCTGACCCCCTGGCCCCTCTGCTGCCAGCCTCAAGCAAAGCCCCTTTTTCTTCCCCACCATCATCTGCAACACCCAAGTAGAGAATTTCAACTCAAACTTTATTTTAAAAGGCAGCTTCTGTTCCCAGCCGCATCATTCACACAAGGGCAGAGGAGCTTTGGCTTCAAAATTATACCTAAAAAAACCAGGCAGGAGATATTCAAACCTGAAATTCTTGTGAGAAGCTGTAAGGAGGAAGTGGTTTGGGAAGGACAGGAACAGGGGGCATTTCAGTGCAAGGAGAATTTTGCTCTCAAGGTGCCTTTTATGAGCCCAGAAAAGAAAACCCCATTTCAGCTAGCTCTGTTATGTGACCCAATATGAAACACTGCAAAGATTCATAACCCAGAGAAAAGGAAAAGCATGAAAAACAAAATAAAAACAGGCAACCTACTAAAAGCCATGGGGACTGGGGGCAGTGCATAGAAAGCTTTACCAGAGCACTGCGGAAAGCTGAAGCAAAAATTGGAGATCAAATCATTGGCCATAACATAAATCCTTTAAGTGACCCAGGCAATAGGTTGGCAACAAACAGATGAAATGACAACACAACCAAAATCTGGACATCTGTCCTCAGGTCCCACATCCCATCATGGAAGACAAACTAAGTACTCTTCTCAAGTCTCCACCTGGAGGAGAGTGTTTGGTTATCCACAGCAGGAGAGAAAGTAAAAACCAGCAGCCCCACATTGTAAAAGGCAGGCCAGACCTTTCCTAGAGGATCTGAGCTCCCTGTACAGTGGAAGATGCATGGGAAAAAAACAGACATTTCTTAGCATTTTGCAGGTATTTTCAATTATTCTTCCAGGCAGAACTGACTGGATCAGTACAGTACCCACCCAAGCAAAGACTGGAGATTCACCAGCTCTCAGACTCCCTCATCTCTAGGCTCCTCCAGATCAGGGTTAGACAGCCTAAGGGCTGAGTGCCACTGCTGTCCATCCTGCAAGTACACTTCAGCCTCCAGGGCTAAGCAGCCAGCACTCAGTTAAGGTACAAGATAGAGCTTAATAGAGGAGATATCAGTACTTCTTGTGCTCCTTCTCTAGGCACTTTGGGCTGTTTGCAAGAAGGCAGAACATAGTTCAAGCCACAGCCAAACATTTCACAAAACTAGAAAAGTCTTATACAGAGAGGGGACCTTACACACTATATATCAGGCCAAACTGTTCCCTGGAATCTGCAGGATCTGGCTGCATTTCAGCCCTCTTCCCCAAAGGAACAGTCAAATGTCAAGAGAGAGATTCCCAGTGCAGATACATGTATGTGGCAACAGAGGCAAAAAAAGAGATTTTCTATCAGGTACCCATTTCCTAAACTGAAGAATAAAACTTCTCCATTACAGTGACTGGCTGTGTGAAGACCTCCACTGCACAATGGATCTATCAATAGCTAAATGAATTTGCCTGGCAAACCTGACTTCCTCCAGCATTCTCCCTCCTACAGTCTGAAAACAGCAGTGATCAGTAGGGCTCCAACCATAACCCTTGTGGGCTTTTTTCTGTAAGTGATTTTTGCCATCATATCCCTGGACAGAAAAGGAAGGCCCGGTAATCCCCACAAAAATGATGTTACTACCATAAAACTCTTCTCCTGCTGTGTACCCTATACCTCTGTCCCTTTTTCCTTTCCCTGTCAGGGGCCTGCTCTGGTCATAGTTCATCCCGGGCTGCACTGTCAAGAGGAGACTGGAGCACATCTGAGTTCCTGGCCTCATTTTTCAGCTCCTGTTGCTCTTTCATTTTTTGAGATTTGGCACGGTCCCAGTCAGTTTTTACTTTCTCATTATTCCAAACCACCGAGGTCTCGGTATCACTGATGTAACCATCGTCACCAGTGTAATGCGTGGGGTAAATCAGAAGTGGTTCCACTGAAAAGGCCAGCAAATTCCGGTTTTCAAAATGCTTCTTGTAGTCAGATCTGTGCAGAAAGAAGAAAACATGACTATATCCACTACTTTGACCCTTCAATCTACCTTTATCCTCCAACCCAATCCCTCTGTCCACCCTACAATTGTTTGAGACACCCTTCATCTTCCCACTACATGATTACAATCACATACAGTGCACACCTCTCACAGCCTTCCAATCCAAATCTCTCCAGCCACTCTCAAAAGAATGATGCACATAAAGACATGATGACCCAGAAAATCCTCCAGTCCCAAATCCAATCCCCTGCTCTTGCATACTATAATTCCTTCACATCTCTATCATCTTCCTGAAACCTTTCCTCTGAAAAAACAGCAACTGCAGAAACGTTTCAAAGTCTGAGACTTTTCAAGCTCACTGTCAAAGTCTGAGCGAGCCCCAACTGAATCTCCCCTAGCTGGGTTGTGATGAGGTTTCATAAAGGTCAGGTGGTACTTACTGCCATGCCAGAGACTGACACCAGAGGGCAAAATGACCTAACCATCCCACATCAGCTTTCACTGACAAAGGTAGGGAATCCCAACTTTCCACGACTGAGACTGGCAATCAGGGGCTCACTCCCAGAAGTCAGTAAGACGGCAGGTTCTAAAGCAGGGACAGGCAAAGTCCAACTTGTGGGCCGGACTGGGACTGTGGTGGACTCCATTTCCCAGCAGCCCCTGCCTGTGTTGCTGCAGCCAGTTTCATAGTCGGTAGGGTTGGAAGGGACCTGAGCAGATCATCAAGTCCGACTCCTGCCATGGCAGGAAAGAATGCTGGGGTCAGACAACCCCAGCAAGGTGTATATCTAGCCTCCTCTTAAAGACCCCCAGGGTAGGAGCCAGCACCACTTCCCTTGGAAGTTGGTTCCAGATCCTACCCGCCCTGACTGTGAAGTAGCGCCTCCTGATATCCAGCCTGAATCTGCTCTCTGCTAGCTTATGGCTGTTGTTCCTTGTTACTCCCGGTAGTGCTTGGGGGAATAGGGACTCTCCCATTGCCTGCTGGTCTCCTTTGGCCAGTTTATAGATGGCCACCAGATCCCCTCCGAGTCTCCTCTTGTGGAGGCTGAACAGGTTCAGATCCCATAACCTATCCTCATAGGACCTTCCCTGCTGCCCCCTGATCATGCGAGTGGCCCTCCTCTGGACCCCCTCCATGTTGTCCACATCCCTCCTGAAGTGTGGCACACAGAACTGGATGCAGTACTCCAACTGGGGCCTGTCCAAGGTCACACAGAGGGGGAGGATCACCCCCTTGGACCTGCTCATAATGCATCTGTGTTAGCCGTCCTGACTGCATCCCCACATTGGCGGTCCATGTTCATTTTTGAGTCAATAATGACTCCAAGATCCTTTTCTGCCTCTGTGCTGGCGAGAGGGGAGTTCCCCAGCCTGTAGGTATGCTGCTGGTTCTTCCTCCCCAGGTGCAGCACCTTGCACTTGTCAGTGTTGAAACCCATCCTGTTCTCATCCACCCACCTCTGTAACCTGTCCAGATCTGATTGCAGCTTGTCCCTCCCCTCCAGTGTGCCCACTTCTCCCCACATCTTAGTGTCATCTGCAAATTTGAAGAAGGTGCTATTCACCCCCTCGTCCAAGTCACTAATGATGTTTAACAGTGCAGGCCCGAGGACCGAGCCCTGTGGAAACCCACTGCCCACATCCCTCCAAGTCAAAAAAGACCCATCCACCACCACTCTCTGGGTGCGGCCCTCCAGCCAATT